TGAAAGCCTCAAAAATGGATTCTCAACTGCTATGTTCTTGTGCGTGGAAAAGGGAATGTCAGCTCATCATGGAATACTCAATTTGTACAACAAATTATGAACCTGAAAAAAAGTTATATCTTACAGTGGGAGGAGGAGGAGGGAAGAGGAGCCATGACTTGGGAAGCAATGATTTCTATTTATGGTAATGGGAAATTGGTATTAAGGGTGTGGTGAAGCGAAATTACCTGGTATGGCGCTTCTGCCCATAGTATTTTAACTCCCAATAAATGATTGGGCCAGAGCATGTAAATAAGGTATAGAGGACTCTAATGATGGGATTGGTCATTTGGGGCATTCCACTGTGTAAAGGGAGTCATCTCAGAACCAGGAAGAGGGAACCCTGCAATCACTCAGAAGAGCCCGGAGTGCAGCATGAGGAGAAACAGCACAAGAACAGCATCAAGACCATGAAACAGAGCCAAGGACACCATGAGACTGTGGTGGGCTTCTCAGCCCACTGAACGAGTCAAGTGGAGCGAGTGCCTTCTGGCAAGAGGCTGGCTTGGTAAAGTGAGCTGCCCTTTCGGCATTTATCAGCTCTAAAGGAACTTTTTCATTCTAGCCCAGGCACACAGAGAAGTCGGAGAGATCTGCCTGGCAACATGACTGACAAGAGGCGCTGCAAATGAAAGAACTGAATCCTTAACCTCTTTGTTGTTACGCGCCTTCAAGTTGTTCCAATTCATAATAACCCCATGAACAACAAAACACCATCCAGTCTGGTGCCATCCTCACAATTGATTTTAATTTTGAGCCCATCGTTGCAGCTGCCGAGTCAATCCATCTTGTCATGGGTCTTCCTCTTTTTTGCTACTGCTCCATGATGTCTTTCCCCGGGCACTGGTCTCTCCTGATAACATGTTAAAAGTATGTGTGCAAAGTCTCCCCATCCTTGCCTCTAAGAGCATTCTGGTTGTACCTCTTCCAAGACAGAATGTTCGTTCTTTTTTTGTAGTTCACAGTACTTTCAATATTCTTCACTAACACCGTAATACAAATGCATCGATTCTTCTTCAGGTTCCCTTATTCCCCGTTTAACTTTCACATGCATATGAGGTGGCTGAAAATACCAGGGCTTCAGTCCTCAAAGTAGCATCCTTGCTTTTCTACACTTTAAAAGAGGTCTTGTACAGAAAATTTACCCCACACAATGCGTTGTTTGATCTCTCTTGACTGCTGCTTCCATGCGCATGGATTGTGGATCCAAGATGAAATCCTTGACAATTCAACCTTCTATTCACTTATCATTTATTAACTGGACCTATTAGTGCAGTTGTGAGGAATTTCATTACATTATGTTGTAATCCATATTGAAGACTGAAATACTTTATTTTCATCAGCAAGTCCTTCAAATCAAGAACCAATGGTTGTCAGAGTAACTAGCCCCTGACAAAATCACAGGTTTCGTAGGCGCAGTTGTACGGCGATAACACATAAAGATCGAGATCCCCTTGCAGAGGGGTCTCGGGGAGGAGATGAGCCAGTCAGGGTGCGATGTAACAATGATGAGAAATACAACTTTCCTCTAGTTCTTCAATGTTTCCTCCCCGCTACCACTACCATGACTCGAATTCGACCTTGCAAGTCTGCCTGGACCGGAGGATGTACACTGGTACAGATGGGAGCTGAGAATCCAAGGAATCCAGGGCGGATGATCCCTACAGGACAGTGGTGTGAGTGGCGATACTGGGAGGGTAAAGGGAGAGTGGGTTGGAAAGAGGGAACCGATTACAAGGAACTATATGTGACCTCCTCCCTGGGGGACAGAAGGCCGAGAAGTGGGTGAAGAGAGATGTCGGACAGGGCAAGATATGACAAAATACCAATTTATAAACTATCAAGGGCTCATTAGGGAGAGGGGGGTGGGGAGGGAGGGGAAAAATGAGGACCTAATGTCAGGGGCTTAAGTGGAGAGAAAATGTTTTGAGAATGATGTACAAATGCACTTTACACAATTGATGTGTGTATGGATTGCGATAACAGTTGTATGAGCCCCTAATAAAATGTTTTTAAAAAAACATATAAAGATAATAGCAAAATCATATAGACTAGGAAAGATAGGAAAATAAAATAAAGGAGTCAGACACATTTTATGATAGCAGGCTCACCTCAGCCCCTCTTGGTGGTCCGCGTGGAGTTGAGAGGAGAGGGAGGGAGAAGGATTTACTTCTAACCAAGGCTTATATATACTTGGGGGCATGCAAGTCCCTTGATTACAGGTAACCACATGTCCTTGTGCTTCTGGATTGACTTAGGATTCTGAGTTCTCCAGGGGAACAATCACTATCCTTCTCAGTAGGGTGTGAGCCCCACCTATGGTGGACCAGACAGTAGTCTGATTGCTCTGGATGGCTGATGCTTTCAGGGAGATAACTTCTAACCAGCTTGCTACAATTATTTACTATGTGTTGCAAGCAGCGTCCTAGGTCTGACATATATTTGGGGGAGACAAGCTGGGGGAAAGCCTTTTTATATCCCATAAATTGAATTGAAGGAGTCCAATCTGCACTGAAGGTATTAGCCAAAAACAAGGCTTCAGAAATTGATAATAGAAATGTTTCAAGAATTTGATGAAACACTGGAAGTACTCATATATCTTATTCCACACCCTTGGAAGACTAAGAGATCCATGTGTACCTTCCCAATACAGGTGACTCAACAGAATATGCAAATTACATGATCATTAATATCACATGCAAATAAATTTCTGAAGATCATTCAACAACGGTTGCAGCGGCAGGGTTGATGCAGAGGTGCAACGACGGAAACTTGTTGGCTTCCCTAATAAATCCTGTAATGCTGAGGATTGTCTGTGGCCATTGCAATAGACTATCACACCCAGCAGAGAAGCAGACTGCTGTGTGAGGGAGGGACGGTGTCAGAACAGGATAGAGGAGGATGTCTGACCCCTGCCTCAGGAATCACATGTCAGATGTGCAGTTGGATTCTCCTTCTCCTTGTGCAGCCAGAAGTCAGAGGTAGCCCTGCCATTTTCTCAAAATATAATCGCTAGAGTAAGGTGTCCACCTGAAAAAGGTGGAATTGGCAGGTGACATACACAATGAAAAAGGGCAGCTGCTGAGGCTTTCCTCATCTGGAGACAGGGCCATGGCTTCATGGGGCAGCCCAATTGGCCTCGTGCTTCTGACCTACTTCTGCCTAGTTCCTCACATAGCGCCTGGCTATGCAAGGTGCAGTTGGCCTCTGACTCCGCTGGCACAGCAAAGATGTGGAAGGATAATCAGACGCATTTGTCTCAACAGCTGGATCCTTTGCCATGAGACTACGACTAGGTGCTCCCTGGTTACCATTATGATTTTGATCAAAGGATATATAGAAGAATCCCAATCAAAAGAAAATAGAACAGAATTTTAAATTCTTGCAACTGAGAGGCTGGATGATCTCCCCCCCACCACAAAAAAGCCCTATTCTGAAATAAATTTTTTTGCCTTTAGGACACTTTTCTCACTTAAAAAAAATTCATTGTGCTCCATGTAAAAGCTTATACGTTAGGTACTGATTTAACAATTGATACATAAATTGTAAAGCTTATACGTTAGGTACTGATTTAACAATTGATACATAAATTGTTCCATGACATTAGTTACTATCTCTGAAATATATCAGCACTTTCATACTTTCCTCATGAACTGCCCCATTCATATAGCTTTCCTGCTCCTTCATGCCTTGTTTGCTTTAGGGTAAAAATTGATTTTTCAGTCAACTTGTTACAGTCCACTAAACCTGGTCTTTTGAAAGAAGCATTTTGCTCTACATTTTTCCTCCCATGCTACCTGGGACCTCCTACTGTCCCTAGACAGAACAGCAGCTGTTGTTTGTATGGACTAACATCTTCCAGGAGTCTTTGGAGACTAACAGTACCTTAGATGGCCAATTACCAGCTTTTAAGATCCCAAAATTTGACTCACTCAACTGAAATGCATAACCTATGAACTAAGCCAATTCACTTAGTTGTCCCAAGACTATGACCCCAACTTCAAACCCTGTAAACCAATCGCACAAGGTGTTTGTCAAATATTCACAACAGCACCTAATTGTGCGTTATTGAATTTATAAATATATATGCAGCACATTTATATACATATCGTCACAAACGTACCCATGCAATATCACTGACTTCCGACACTCACAGCCCATACATATCTAATCAACTGTTTCTTGCTATTGTAAGAAATGCTACATTTAACGTTTTTCCTTTATTCATTCACATTAGTGAGGCTAATCTTTATTTTTTTAATACATCTTTTGTTTATATATTATTTGTAAACTTTTTAAAATCGTTTTATTAGGGGCTCATACAACTCTTATCACAACCCATACATACATCAATTGTGTAAAGCACATTTGTACATTCATTGCCCTCACCATTCTCAAAACATTTGCTCTCCACTTAAGCCCCTGGCATCATGTCCTCATTTTCCCCTCCCTCCCGTGAGCTAATCTTTAAAGCTACAATTGAAACTATCCCCCGAAGTAACCTTTGAGCCACAATTTATTTGGCTTTGAACATGGTGCTTTTGAAGTCTATATGGGACCAAACTGACCACTCCAAAGGTTAGCAGCTTAGGGGCAGTGTTTGTTAGTGGTGAATAATTTGGAAAAGGAGTGAGAATGGTTTCAGATCTTGAACAATCAATGTAACTAAATTATACTTTTTAAAATCATACTTTTAATGTTGGTCTGTTTTGCTGTATTTCACCAGAACTAGAAAAAAGGAAAATCATAAATTCAAGTTTTCTTTTAAATTAACAAAAAACATGCAGACTGAATAATTTGATTGGCTAGTCCTAAAAAACAAGATATCAAAAAAAAAACAAAAAAAAGCAAAGGGGCCTGGGCGGGGGCGTGGGGGGAAAAAAAGCAAAAACAAAAAAAAAATCCCCAAAACATGTTAAATATTTTTAGTCACATGATCAAAAAAGAGATCGGACAAAGAATAATTTTAACCCATTACGATTTATTCGCTACAATATTTTGTTAGAGTTCAATGATTTGCACTCGTAAGTTATATAGCCAAGAGGCAACAAAGTGTAATACAAAGAATTGGTCTGAAGTCTTTGTACTGAAGGCCAAAGTCTCTTGCTTCAGGGAAATAAGTGTAAAGAAACAAAACAAACACATAGCTTCCTAGGTTCCAGAATTCCAGTAGAAAATAACAAGTTAGTGTAATTGTAGATGTCAACATATGGAAAACAGATCTTGTGCAAATATTAAAACTAACACCCAGGGCTTCTTTTGTATAGATTTTATAAACAATATGCAATACTTCAACTACAAACCTCTCTTGTTGAAAGGTTCTGTAACATGAGTTGCTTTATTATGAAGAGAAAACGTTTTAAGAACCTCACAGTGGAAACAATCCAGTATCGACAGACTCTAGTGATCAAACACACTCCTTTTACTGTAAAACGAGGACAATTTATAGAATATGTCCTAGCTGTGGGTATTAGAAACAACCCAATTTTCCAGACCAAAAGGCACTCACAGCTAAGGATGACACAAACTACGAACCAAGCCAGCAGTCAGATTGGTTCTCTGAAATCTGGTTACCTACTGTTCAGTTTATGCAGCCCAAGGACAAAGGAAACACTAAGCAGAAAACTCACTTTCTTTTAATCTACAAGTCACATATGTATCTGGTCACCCTCATGACTGATTTGGTCAAGCAGGTGGAAGGCAGTTCAGAGCTGTCATCTCCCTAGCAGAGCTGCCACGTAGATAATCCAGACTTGGTTTTTTCCTGAGAGCCACCTGCCATACATGTTTATGAGGTGACCATCACTGTACACTTCCAGACCAGGCCCTGTTCAGGACTGACACCGAAAGCACCATTCCTTACAAGGCCAAGTATTTTCCTTGGCTAGCTCCCAAGTCCCCTTGGGCAAGGCAGGGGGAAAAGAGCTTTTCCATTGCTGTCTTTTGTGTGGGAGCATGAGGAAAAGTGGAGGGAATAAGGCTTCTTCACTCCAAAAACCGGAGGCCACTTCAGTGTGGTGCTGGGCTTAAACCAGCCTAATTCTTGTGCACTGATTTTGAAATTTTCATTTTCTTAAATGGCAGGTATCCTACCACACCCCCAACAAGATAAAAAATAAATGATACACTGGTGAAGACAAAAAGGCAAACATTTATATAAGGGAAAATAGGCTTGAAGAACATGGCACTATAAATGCTTGCATGGCCAGTCTCACTGAGCGTGCCCAGGGGTGAAAGTTTAGCACCAGTTTTTTTGCTTTTAAAAAACTCTTTAGAAATTAAACACAACTCTAACGCAGAACAGTTGAACATTATGAGTCTAGCCCTATGTGCCAATACTGTTGTACAAGCCAAAGGTGGATGGTTTAGTTCAGAGCCGACCATCCGTACATCAAACCATGGTGTAAGACTGATTTTTATTCTCAGCAGCAGGAAATCATGATACAATCCCATCGTCTTGAAAAGGGTTTTCCTCAACATTACAAGGGGAAGGTGGCAGGATGTGAGAACCCAGCAGTTAAGACAGGTGACATGACATGGGTTTCTCGTTTATCAGCCCAACATTCATTCCCCTTAACCTTTCTGCATCCTCGTCAGAACAGAGCACAGGGCCAAGCAAATCCACTTCCGTTCTCACTGTTCCCTAAAAACAAAGACACTGATGCCTGCGACAGAGCGTTGTTCCTCAGACTGTACCCACTTCTACATTCCTGGCAGAAGGAATCTCTAAGGAGCTCCTTTGGCCCGTTTCAGAAAGCCACACCATCTCCATATAAACTTTACTATACCAATCGCTGTGTTCACTGGGTTGATACCCAATCCATTTTGTGAATTCTCTAAATGTGTTGCTGAAAACCAGTGTTTCCTTAGGATCCTTTCTTCCAACTGACTACCTCTTCCCGTCAATCATTTTAGCAGTGCCTCTGTTAAGATAAATCCAAAGCATCTTCCAAGTCCCCTAGTTCTATGAACTGTGCCACCAAATTAGTGAAGATTAAGCAGGACAGGAGACACTTGCTGACAGACATGTGGAAATCAGCAACAATGACAGCAGGCAATATGTCACAAGAAGGTTTGAGTGATCTTGAATGAGTTTAGGGATTTTCTCTGGTGCAGTGGAGATTTCCAATACTTTAGACAAGCTGAAGAGCCACCTTGTTTAATAACAGCTTTGTTTTAAAGTCCTGTAAGAACTCCCCTGTTTAAAGGTCTTTCAGAATGTGTGCCTGAAAAGAAAAGCCACTCGGAGGCCCTGAATTCCCCGCTAGAACAATGTGTCCTTACAAAGCTCAATCCAGCTGCTTGTTTGATAGCTGCTTTCTGAGAACCTAGATCCAGCTATAGGCACTGCTACCAGAAGAGGATTTGAGGTAGCCTGGTGGTAAGGAAGAGATCTCTCCTTCACACGTGTGCAGCAATGACAGCAGGTCCTCCTTTGGGCCTCTCCATTCCATTCCATTCCTCAGCAGGCTGCACAACAACACTGTTTCACACCAGGAGACTCTAAATAAAGAATGCTACAAAATCCAACTGACAATAGGATGAGATTTAAAACCGTCAAGGTTTAGTGAACAATGATCAGTGAGTGACCTATGCCTCCCAAAAGGCTTCTGATGTGGGTCCCTGTCCAGGAGCCGCAGGGGACTCACGGTGCCCACTTTCAATCCTATCAGGATGTCTGGGTAGGAAGCATGAAAGCTGTGATCAATTCTTGGTATGCAATTAAATGAAAGTTGTCTTTTTTGGGGAAAGAAAAAAAAGTAATTTAAAACAACCTAAAAATGTTTCTTGTTGGTCTCCGTTGCCCAGACTGCCAGAGGAACATACCTACTTAATCTAGGGAGGTTGTAGGGATGTGTATGGGATAAGCCTTCATGGATCTTCAATTTCAGCTTCCTTGTGTGGCCAACACACATGCAGCAAATCACCAGGAGTACCTGCATGTCATAGGTCCCCTGAACCCACATAGTAATTCTTACTAAGCTTGGAGGAGCCCCAATCCAACTGAACCCCATATTGAGGAAAGGCTGAGATAAGGCTTGGGCCCCTCAAGTTCTGTTTCATTCAATGTAACCCCGCCATCCCTTTAGTCAGCTGGAGGCAGACTTGGCAACGGAAGCTAGCATCATAAAATGGTGCAGTAATAGAAGTAACTGGACCAGGAAGAGGAGGCATCTGCTCCAATGATGTCATAGCCATTGGCTGCCACAGGGGGGTGAGATTGGTCATGCAGCCGTGTGTCAGGAGTAATGATTGTAGAGGGGTGGGGCATGAAGAGTGCCATTCTGGAAGCAGTGCTGGCGAGAAGCAATATACTCTGCATAACTGATTGTCACCTTCTCACTTCGGTACCTGTGTAAGGAAACAGGAACAAGTATTAGGAACCTCAAGCAATTAATTCTGTAGAATCACTCAGCAGAGAAAACCAAAAGCTTATTTTATACTTTTGAAAGAATATGGAAGACCAAGAGCAATCTTACTTACAGAAAATGAAAGACAGCACAAAGAAACAATGTTATTACAAATGAACAAGATGAGAAAGCACAACTACAATTCACATCTGAGAATGTATTTTCAGAACATCCCATCTTTAAATACTACATATATCAGACTGCTCTTAAGCAGTCTGCTATTAGAATCTGGATGAAGAATTTCATGTCAAATTACAAGGGTGATAGATATACTGGAAGATGACTGCACCAAAGCCCAGTTTAAACTGCGTATCTAAGGTCAGGTTAAAACGTGATCAACTGGACAGAAATGCATTAACATATACACCTCAATTTGCAGAAGAATGACTGATACATTATTTACAACTAAAATGGGCAAAGATAACTAATTCTGGGTCAAATTCTGATAAAGCAGATTAAAGTATCCTGGGGCTATATAAAACGGGTCTCCATTCCCAAATGAACATTTCATTTCATAGGGCCATCAGAGCGGAATTCAGAGCGCTTTGGTTTTGCTCTTAGAAGGATGCAAAGCATGGGGTGTTACAAACCTATGGACCCTACTACAGACCACAGGAGCTGGGTGTGACATCCTTACCCAGAGCCATCTCTTTCCCACTGTAATCACTCCTCCACTGCAAGGTGATTATTCCTGAATTTTGACAGGGAAATGGCTGTTCAAATAAATTATAATAATAATAGTAATAATAATGCTTTGTATCTGAAGTGTTCTTTTTTTCTTTCTTTTGGAATCCAAAGCATTTCAAAAACACTGGGTATCTTCCAAACAGACCTGTGAGGTTAGTATATGATAATCAGTATTTCACAGATGAGGCAGCCACAAAGGCCCACAGACACTAAGCCCTTCAGTATTTCCACTGTTGATAGGAATGTGAGAGGACTGACATCCAATGACTGCCTGCAATGTTACCTGACCCTGGACTAGAAATTCTAGTTCCATTACCTTCTCTCCCGCCCACCATACGGCCCACCCCCCAAAAAAAGAAAAATCAAACAGTGCCATCAAGTGAATCTCATCTCAGCGACCCATTAGGGCAGAGTAGAACTGCCCTTGTGGATTTTCTAAGACTGTAAATAAATCTTTAAGGGAGTAGAAAGCCTCACCTTTCTCCCATTGAGCAGCTAGTTGGTTTCAAACTGCAGCCCATTGTGTAATTCACTACACCATGCTGGCTCCTTACCTATCTTATCCTAAAATAAGCCACTTTTTTTTTCATTTAGGTCTTATACTAGGTAAGTGGTAGAACTGGAGTTCAGGCCTCAAAGGCTTTGTGCATTCTATTATAATAGGAAGCCCATAGTACTAATCACACAAATTGGTGGAGGCATTTGCTTTTAATTTCTGGTAGAAAGCATTACTGACTTTCTGGTTACCATGCCTCACTACCTTACTGCTTGTGCGTTGAGGTAGGTAGTAAATACCCCAACTGAACCTGATACCTCCACATTGAGAGCCCTCTTTCCTAACCTCACCCTTTTCCCTAACTAAGCCCGCCAACCAAGTGAGTCCTGCACAGCTGCTGTCAGGATGTACGAGGTGCTGTGAAACACAATCTTTGCATTTCTGCCACTGCTTTCTCAAATTTTAAGCCTCCTTCACAATGCTTTAATTCAGGAACATTAGCAGAGAAATGTATTTTCTTTCCTTTCCATCATAAATATCTTCCTTCTAAGCCCAGTTAAACAAGGGCGAGGAAAAGGAGACAGTGACATACCTGGTGAGTTTGATCGTTTTTCTGAATTCACTGGTAATTGGAGCCTTAAAACCACCTTTCCTGAGCAATGAGTCTATGGTCTGGATCTGATCCCAGTCTAAGGATGAAAAGAAGCCACACAGAGGTCAATGCCCGATCATACAAAAGCGGGACATGTTTTCATTCAGCCAGTGTGAGGAATGAGATTTGAAAAGCAGCCACACCTATAAGGGCATAGAAACTGTGGCACTGGCCCACATTTATCTGTAGCACTTCTCTGAAACAGGAGGGCAATAGCTTAACTTTTGTCCCTAGACAGCCTGCTTCTGTAAATGCTACTCAGGTATAATCATTTACCAACAAACTTGACCGCAATTTAGATCCCACAATTGACCTACAACTGGAACCCAGGGCTGTTCTTTGGTAGAAGACTATCAGAATTCAGCTATTTCAGAAGAGTTTGAGGAATTGTTTCCTTATTACAGGTAATTGAGTGGCAGGAAGAAAATTATTTTTTAGAAAGAACTGGAAAGTTATTTACATACACATATATTGTTGGCTTCTTATACAGTCTTATTAGATAATATCAAATTGAAAACCAAATCAACAAACAAAAAATTCCCTACTATACTACACTATATGCCTGAAGTTTTTAAAAATAAAATGTCAGATAGGAAATTGTTCATTTGATATTTACCTAGGTTATCCCACCTCACTAATAACAAACATTGTGGTCTGTCTCCTTGAATGTAAATGTGTCCTAAATAAATAGACGTGTCCATGTTCCGATTTCAAATAGGTAACAAAAAGGCTGCTTAACACTTTCCACTACCATCTATTTAAATTTGCTCTAGTTTTTGTATTTTCTGGGGATTGTTTTGCAGTAGAATTCCAAGTTATTATACTTTATAATTATATAGTTTATACACGTTATAGGTTACATAGTATAGTACAGTATATAGTTTATACATATAAACTGTATAACTTATATAGATTATATAATACAGTAGTGTATCAAGTACACTATTTGGAAGTTCTTTGAGTTGGTCCATTATCTACTTTTACTTTTCTACTTATTTTAATCATTTTATTGGGGGTTCATAAAACTTTTATCACAACCCATGCATACATCCATTGTGTCAAGCACATCTGTACTATTTGTTGCCATCATCATTCTCAAGACACTTGCTTTCTTTTTTTTTTTTTTAAACATTTTATTAGGGGCTCATACAACTGTTATCCCAATCCATACACACATCAATTGTGTAAAGCGTATTTGTACATCATTTCTCAAAACATTTTCTCTCCATTTAAACCCCCGACATTAGGTCCTCATTTTTCCCCTCCCTCCCCGCTCCCCCGACACTTGCTTTCTACTTGAGTCCTTGGTACCAGCTCCTCATTTTTGCTTTTACTTTCTTTTTTTAAATCGTTTTATTAGGGGCTCATACAACTCTTATCACAATCCATACATACATCAATTGTGTAAAGCACATTTGTACATTCATTGCCCTCATCATTCTCAATTCTGCTTTCTTTTCTATTGAGATTTTTATCAGTTTTACTTTGTTTTTTTGTTGTTGTTTTTTCCGGGACAAAATGGGTACTTGGGCATACGGCAGGGGATGTGGGGAAAAATGGGAGCTAATAATGATAAGTACAAGAATGAAGAAAATGTTGTAAGACTGATTGTGATGATTGTGCATTTGAATTAGCTGAAATAGCTCATCGGATACGTCAATAAAACTTGGGGGACCAGGACCAGTGAGGAGATAGTCATAAAGGTCAGCAGAAAGACCTAGAATTATGTATTCTTTTCTCTTTTTCTTCAATCTTTTGTTTTGCCTACCTATATAAGATAGGCATGAGAAGCAAGACCATGGAGAAGCAATGGGAGAATAACTAAGGAATTAAAATCAACAACGAGCAGGGCATAGAGATCCTGGTGGTGTTGGAACAACAGCAATCTAGCTGAGAGGAGTTACTCAGAGGCAGAAGAAGGGTGAATGTGATGATGGAGCAGGAGGAAGGTAAAAGAAAACACATTTAAGATCTAGGAAGTGCAAGATATGACAAAATAATAATTTGTAAATTATCAAGGGTTCATGAGGGCGAGGGGAGCGGGGAGAAAATGAGGACCTGATGCCAGAGGCTTAAATGGAGCAAATGTTTTGAGAATGATGAGGGTAATGAATGTACAAAGTGCTTTACACAATTGATGTACGTATGGATTGTGATAAGAGTTGTATGAGCCCCTAATAAAATGATTAAAAAATTAATTAATTAATTTTTTAGAAGGCCTAGGAAGCAAAGCTTTGGATAGAGGTATAAACATAGGTGTGTACATATGCAAATATATTAATTCATAAAAATAGAGGTGATAGTCCAGGGACATATATTTATATGGCAATACACTGAGGAAGTAGATGGACTTTGGGCCTCTGCTCAAGTCCTGCCTCAACACAAGAATACTTTGTTCTAACAACCTGGCATTCTGTGATGCTTATCCTCCCAACTTGATCGCTGAAGACAAACTGGGTGTATAAGCAAATGTGGGGAAGAAAGCTGACGGTGCCTGGCTATCAAAAGATATAGCATCTGGAGTCTTTTTAAAGGATTGAAAATAAACAAGTGGCCACCTAGCTCAGAAGCAACAAAGCCCACATGAAGAAGCACACCAGCCTGTGTGATCATGAGGAGTTCAAGGGATAAGGTATCAGGCATCAAAGAACAAAAAATTATATCACTGTAAATGAGGGGCAGTGCAGAGTAGGGACCCAAAGCCCATCTGTAGGCAACTGGACATCCCCTTATGGAAGGGTCACGGGGAGGAGACGAGTCAGTCAGGGTGCAGTGTAGCAAGATGAAACATACAGCTTTCCTCTAGTTCTGAAATGCTTCCTCTCCACCCACTATCATGATCCCAATTCTACTTTACAAGTCTGGCTAGACCAGAGGATGTATACTGGTACAGATAGGAACTGGAAACACAGGGAATCCAGGATGGATGATCCCTTTAGGACCAATAGTGAGAGGGAGGGTGGAGGGGGGGCGGGGGCAGAGAGCGGGAACTGATTATAAGGATCTACATATAACCTCCTCCCTGGGGGACGGACAAAAGGTAAGTGGGTGAAGGGAAATGGACAGTGCAAGATATGACAAAATAATAATTTATAAATTATCAAGGGTTCATGAAGGAGGGGGGAGGAGGGAAAATGAGGAGGTGATGCCAGGGGCTTAAGTGGAGGGTAAATGTTTTGAGAATGATGAGGGTAATGAATGTACAAATGTGCTTTATACAATTGATGTATGTATTGATTGGGATAAAAGTTGTATGAGCCTTCAATAAAATGATTAAATTAAAAGAAAACAACAACAGAAATTGGAGGTATGGCCTCCAACCAAATTACAAAAAAAAAAAAAGGCTCACAAGGAAGGATGAGTCAACTAGAGTGCAGTATAGCACTGATAAAACACACAGTATTCTTCTAGTTCTTTGAGGCTTCCTCACTCCCCACTATCATGGCCTAGTCCTACCTTTCAGTTCTGTTTAGACCAGAACATGTATACTAGGCTCATGACACATGGAATCCAGGTCAGATGAACCCCTCACGTACAGAAATGGGAATAGCGATACCAAGGTAGGGAGGTGGAGAGAAGAGAGGAGGAAGGGGTAACCAATCGCAATGATCAATGCATAACCCACACCCACACCCACACCCAGCCCCAAGATGGACGAAAAGAAACCTGGGTGAAGGGAGACAGTGGTCAGTGTGAGATATGAAAACAATAATAATTTATCATTTATCAAGGGGTCACGAGGATGGAAGAGGCAAAGGGCTCAAATAGAAAGTAAATGTTTAGAAAATGATTGCAACATTATGTATGAACAGGCTTGATATAATTCATGCATGGAATGTCACAAAAGCTGTAAGAGCCCACAATAAAATGATCTTTAAAAAAACAAACTTGTGCTCGCTTCAACAGCACATATACTAAAATTGGAACAATACAGATTAGCATGGCCCCTGCGCAAGGATGGCATGCAAGTTCGTGAAGCGTTCCTTATTTTTCCTCTAGTTCTTTAATACTTCCCCCCACCAATACCATGATCCCAGTTCTACCTAACAAATCTGGCTAGACCAGAGGATGTACACTGGTACAGATAGGAACTGGAAACGCAGGGAATCCAGGGCAGATAATCCCTTCAGGACCAGTGGTGGGAGTGGGGATACTGGGAGGGTGGACAGAGCGTGGGGTAGAAAGGGGGGAACCGATTACAAGCATCCACATATAACCTCCTCCCTGAGGGATGGACAATAGAAAAGTGGGTGAAGGGAGACGTCGGACATGGTAAGACATGACAAAATAATAATAATTTATAAATTATCAAGGGTTCATGAGGGAGGGGGGAATCAGGGGAGGGAAGGGGAAAATGGGGAGTTGATACCAAGGGCTCAAGCAGAAAGCAAATGTTTTGAGGATGATGGCAACAAATGTACATATGTGCTTGACACAAAGGATGTAGGTACGGATTGTGATGAGTTCTATGAGCTCTTGATTAAAAAAGGGGGGGGGATTTTTTTAAAAGATTGCTTAAGTCACTGCTTTTGAAAGTCTTAAAAACCCATATAGAAAATAACAAAGCTTTCTATATAATCAATTCATTGGTTTTATTTAACTGGATTCTTTCTCTATTCTAGGCTCACACCCCAAAAATACCATTTCATGTGTTTTCAAAAACAGACTACTTCCAAAAAATAAATAAAATATGGCTTAATATCACAGAATGCACAAACATTTAACAATATTCATCTTTCAAAGAAAAGAAAACCTTGTGCAACCCATTTCCCCCCCACTTCTTACCTTTAACAGCCCACTATAAGAACCTAGTAACCACTCAAAACTACTAAAAAGGAAAATTGCTCTTTAGAAAATAATGGGAATTACCTTTGTATGTGCACACTTTATTTCAAGTACCGTATATACTCATGTATAATGATTTTTTTCAACACATTTTTAATGCCGTTTTTGTGGTAAAATTAGGTGCCTCGGCTGATATTTGGGTGGGCTTATACTCAAGTGTATACGGTACTTACAAAGTTTCATTAGGCTATTCTTGGGATGAAAGAAAGATCACCTCTTACAGAAACTTACAGGCTATGTACCAACTTCACAAAACAGCAGGCAACACTGCATCTGCTGACTAGGGATGCAGTTCTGAGTTGACCCAACAAAAAGGAAACCTGGCAGGAAAAGGGGCAGGTGTTCATCTGAATCAAGCTGCAGTTGCCATCAGGACAAATCTTCTGTGGGGAGTCACACAACATTGGTTGTTTTGGGAATGTGTGCAGCACAGGGGTTGCACATGCCTACTTCGCTACACCCGACTGGGGTGCCATTTTATAATGTTGCTCAAGTTCCTTGCCAAACTCCCGCAGCAAAAAAATCCCAAATCAAACTCCTCTGGAAATCATTCCTATCTCTGTTAAAGAGATAGACACCAATAGACACCCCAAAGACAATGTCGCACTTCAGGAGTTCCATTTCCAGACCCCTCAGCATTCATGCTGCTCAGACAGCCACAGTAGCCATCTTCTAGCTCTACACTGGGCTGTAGGGATTAATTTTTGCCCTTTGCCAAGTATAACATTGTTTATCAATTGATGATCAAAGTTCTAAACCCGTACAGATGGACATCCATGAACTCTGTAACATGGTCTCCTTGGTTGTTAGAATTCTGCTACAAATACCACTGTATTTTGGGGGGAAGAGAGGTGGGGAGCGGTACGGGGGCTGGGCAGGGGTCAGAATAAAGCTACTGAAGTTCCTCCCCAGTTGTAGAGAAATTAAGGGAAACACTCATTCTTACTCACAGTTGGACTAAAAGACGGCACACTTCATTTTCCTGCCCTGAATCGGCATAACTATGAATGGGACTATTTATTACAATCAACCCAACTTACCTTGTTCTTTAGCAACCTCAGGTAAATATGTGGCTGTACGTTTGATGCCCTTTTCATTGATGAATTCAATTCGAATGCCATGGACCCCTACCTACAAAAAAAAAAACATCCCACCAAGTAAGTGGTATTTACTAGTCATAATGGAACTTCAACCATCCACACAAAAACTGACATTGTTCCCTACACCGTATGATTTAGGTCAGGGCAAATGAAGCTCACCTGTTTTTCACGTCTTTGTTCTTGGTGTAGAGGCCACAGGCATTTTGGCTATAAAGCAGGTGGGAATTTATGTGTAGCTACCTTTCTTCTTATATAGTTTCTGAAACTTTAAATTTTTTACTGGAACAGACAGACTTATCTTTCTCCAAAGAGCAGTTCCTGGACTTGAACCACACTTACAGTGCCTATACCACAGCATCAGTAGGGCAAATTTGAGAGTAGAAATGAATTCTTTAAATAGCTCATCTGATATTTTGAATATATTACATTAAATGACCATGTCACAACATTTTTATTTGGGTTCATGATTCTTCATATCTGACATCTGACTTCTAATAAAAACTTTTACTTGGTCTCTCTCTCTCCGTGTCTGTCTGTCTCTGTTTCTGTCTCTCTGTCTCCTCCATCTGTCCATCACCTCTCTTCACAAAGGAGAGGGCCTGCGTGAAGAAGAGGGTGGGAAGGGAGGGTGTATGTTTGAACCTTCACCCCCATATCCCCATATCTACGATGGCAGTGAATAATAAAACCTAAGCGTGACAAAGACAAAAAAAAAAAAACACTTTTACTCAAGGGCTTACCAAGAGATTACTTTCATTTATTTCCATTCTTATTTATTAGGAGATGCAGGAGCAAGGGGTTGGTAATAAATGGGAGCAAATGAAAGCCTTATGTGCTTTCTGATTCCTAGCACAGCACCCCCTTTTCTGTCACCCACAGCTGGCTCTAATCTCAATGTCCACATACTTAAACCTTCCTTCAACGAACGAGATACATTACCATGTACTAACCCGGACCCAAATGCAACGAGAGATGCAGAGTTCCAAATGAAGCTGTTCTCACCTCCCAGTCCAGGTAATCACTGGCATCCTCAAAGTTAGTAAGGAGGGAGACAGAGCAGAAAAGTTTAGGTAGCTCCTCTCGGGTCAGTGGGGGAAATCGGCTGTCCTTAAGTGCACTAGAAGGGACAGAAGGGACAGAATACACAGATGAGGCCACTTTGAATTCCTGTGCAAGCACCACGTACCAGAGAGCCCCAATATTTACAAATCTAACATGCACAGTAATCTATTAGTAATTAGATGCTAATAACCAAATACACAACTCAACAAATTAAAACTCCTCTGTACTACCCAATAACCAAAATGAGGACACTCAAAATGTATCAAACAAAACCAGTTCTTCAAAATTCCTGCCTACTTATCTGCAGTTCTTAATGGCTAGTGCCATTACCTGGTTAACGTGTATTCCCTGAGTCCTGAGTGAAGATTCATGGCTGAGAAGGTTCCAATGCAGCCCCGGAGCCGCTTATCCCGCCCTGTCTTCCACGTCACAAACAGTGGACTAAAAAAAAAGGAAAACACAAAACATTCTCTAGCCCCAAATTAAATCTTGTTGAAGAACAAAACCTTTAGGCTTTGCCCCTCTTCATATACGTTATTCCCCAAAAGGGCAGTTTTCGGAGCTGGTGTCTATCTGAAGGACTTTTGCTTTCTGGAAGTGGAACCTTACATGGAACCTTAAGGAAACTCTGTAGGGCAGCGATTCTCAACCAGTAGGTCGCGACTCCTTTGGGGGTTGAACGACCCTTTCACAGGGGTCACCTGATTCTTAACAGTAGCAAAATTACAGCTATGAAGTAGTAACGAAAATAAATTTTACGGTTGGGGGGTCACCACCACCACATGAAGAACTGTATTAAAGGGTCGCAGCATTAGGAAGGTTGAGAACCACTGCCTCAAGCCCAGGCTTCAACTTCTCATTCTACTTCCGAGGTGTTTTTCCTTTATTCTACCTTTACAGCCATCCACATTTTCTAAGACATCCTTTATTATTATACACCTGGCATGGACACCTTCCTTCTTATCTGCAAGTTTCCTTTGCAATATCACTGTTCCCCAAGATTATCCCACCCTCTGGGCAACTAAAATTATGAGGCAGTTTCAGAAAGTTCTTGAAAATATTCCATTATTTTAATTCTACTGGCCCATGTTGGATCATCTACTACATAAAATTTCAGAAAACTAATACTAATGTCTTCTGTTGGGAAGGGGAATCTCTTAAGTGAAAGTTGTCAACTTCTGTTGCCAGGACAGGGTCGAAGTCATGCTTAACTAGACTATGGTTGCTGGTGGTAAATTTTTTAAAAAAGAAGTTACAGTGTTACATTCCTTTCTAAATACTCTTGTACTATTAGATACCTCTATACCTTATTGCTTAGGTTCTTACTGCTGAAACATAGTTAACATTGTAAAAGTCAGTAAAGCCCCCAATTACGTTCTTCCATTCCAATAAAAACCTAAACTATAAGCCAGTTACTGTCCAAAAACTTATGCAAATTCCCTCCAAAACTTCTGACAACAGGAAGGGGACACAAACAAACCCTCAAGTCCAACAGCCTAATGCTACCTGCTGTAACCAACACCTGCTCCTCCACACTGAACCCTCCCCTCCTTGCAAGCGAAGATAATCTTCATCAAAAGATAATCCTTGACGACTACACGTGCTCAGAATTCACACCTGCTCAGCCAGGACTTTCTTAAACACAGCATCCCAAGCAACACTGCCTAACACATATCTCATTTCCCCTTCTGACATAATCACACAGGCATCAATCTTTGGTACTCTTTTAACTGTGTGTGGGTTTGACTGGTCAACGAAATGACAAGTGTCCCTTTCCCCCAAGTGTAAGAACCTTCCCTCATAAGCCCTCCATAACCCTGCTCATTAGTTGCAGTACAGCTTTAATAACTGAGAAATGACCTTTTTTTTCCTCCCTGAGATATGATCTTAAACACTTCTTTAAAACAAAGAACAGAAAACATCGGTGCTTTTCAAATGCAACCTGGTCTTCTTCCCTTCTTGAACTTAACTACTGTCTGGACATTTCTCAACATTCTTTCTTACTACTTTTCCCCCAAATGATGCTACAGTGTTTGAAGAGAATGATCCAGAAAAGATGCCATCATGCCTTCTGCACTGTCCCCTACTATGCCTCTTTTACTCACTAGGGGTCATTGGTGAATCTAGGAAGTCGTGGCTGTGGGAAGCCGTAAAGGTGACAGTAGAGCACATCAAAGCAGTAGCAGCACATCTCTGCAGTCACCACCAGGTTCTTGGTGGTGTTGGCAGTTCCATTGGGACGGGGGAGAGGGCTCAGCGCTCCTGATGTGGGATTCATTCGTGTAATGGGAGAATTTCCAGGCCCCAGAGTTAAGTCCGATACATTCTCCCGTCCATTGTTGCTGTCCACATGCTGGTGGTTTTGAAGAGGTCCTGAACTAGAGGCGGGCACAGTTGCGGACTGGTTCCCGTGACTGTGTGTTCCGCTGCCAGATAATTTGGGCTTCTTGACCCCACAACAGCCTGCTGCCAACTTGGGCTCGAGTGGAGGGACACAACGTCTTTTTCCCATCCTGATTCAGTGCTTGAGGTCTGGAATGCTGCAGAACCCTAGGCAAAAAGATAATAGTAAAACATAAATTTGAATGGTCTGTTAAAAGGAAGAAACAAAAATCAAACGCAGAGTCTACATGGAGAGGGCTAAGAGTTTTCAACTTCTCTCTCCCACTCGCATCTAGTTCATTTGGCAACCAGGGATCACAGACAAACACTGAAAGAAATCCTGCATTCATTCAAAGCAGGCAAATTTTATTTTCTACAGAACTTATGATCACAATGGGTAAATGTAGGCAAGACTCCCCAGGGAGGTGACTGGCTGGAAGATGGGTAAGGTCAGAGACTGAGTGTCAGACTCTTCCTTAGGTTACCCTCTACACTTCTTATATGCCCCAGACGGACCCTACTTTAATTTCCTTATTAATAACCACTTTCCCGCTCAGCAGCTTGCCACTAAGCTGAATCTGCATTGTTTTGGCTCCAAACCCCGGTGAAGATGAAGTTAGCTGCCATTCTGACAAGAGCCCACCCACTCACCTAATTCACAATAGTTATTTTTTTTAAAAAGTGACCCTATCTACACACAAAGTTCTCACTACTCTTTCCTCTCAGCTCTTTCTTCTTACTCAGTTTTTGTTTCACCTCTGAACATACTGTAATCTCTATACATCTCTACCCTTGCGAGCCTCCTTGTACAAACACTGCAATCTAGAATAAACTTCATAAAATGGATTCAAGCTTCCCGTCTTTTTTCAGGTAGCCATTTCTGTCTTGTCACAGCAAAGCAGACAGTTACAGAGCCACCCACTGTAACAAAAGATGGCATCAGATGGACTACGTGATGGCAGCACACACTACCTGATATGAAGGAAATGTGGATATTCCTCAACAATTTCCCCCTCAAAAAGACCAAGGTAAATCCCATAGCTAATGTGACCAAGGGCCTTTCTTTGTTGCCTGGAAAGTGTCTATAATAGAATCAGGAAAGTAAATCCTAATTATTTCAATGTTGACAAATGAAGTGTTTGTAAAATTCTGCTAGCTTGAGAAATGACTTTTTCTTAAGCCATGATGGTTTTCTGGGGGGAAATTATTACTCTACCTCAGTTTTTGGTTGTGATTTAGTGTGCAGAACTATCTGTTTAGGCACTGCTCAAAAATAGACTAGTCAGCTGCAAACTCCACAATCTTGTAAACAGATCTGTATCCCCATTTGCAAAGTCATTCGTTTTAAATACAACAACTTGTCATTTTAGGGTGGGAAACCCATTGTCCAGTCAGCAGTTTCCTATTCACGGCAACTCCGTGTGTTACACAGCAGCACTGGGGCGCACAGGGTTTGCTTGGCTGTAATCTGTATGAAGCGAATCTCCAAATCTTTCCCCCTGGGTGCTAAATGGGTTCAAACTGCTAATATTTAGGTTGGTAGCCAAGGGTGAAATGTTTGTGCCACCCAGAGAGCTTTTAGATGAACAGAGATGGAAACATTTCACAAACATTAATTGTTAATATTCAGCAAACACTCTGATCTATAACAAAATATACATATAGGACAATTCTGAATGAGATGAGGTTGTCAGTAGTTGAAGAACAGCTTGCAGGCTTGGAACAATTAACATTTGTCAACTACTTGGTGGAGAGCAAGCATCAATATAATCAGCTGCTTTTGGTTTACTGTTCCTTTAAGGCCTGGCTGGACTTTGCTGTGTACTCAGTATTAAGTACTCTTTGAACACTTCATTGGATATCCTGAACCACTCAGCAAGGCAGAGGATGGTACCATAATTATAAAGATAAAGAATATCAGGCTTTCAAAGCAAGAAAGCCACACTGCCAGTAAAGGCTGGAGTACAGCCCTCAAGCCTCAAGAACAAAGCCTGCAAATGATGTCCACAGGATTCAGTACCTAAGCGCAATGGGCTATTGTTGTTAAGTGCCATCAAGTCGGCCCCCCAATATGTACAACAGAACAAAACACTACCCAGTCTGTGCTATCCTCACAGTTGTTTGAGTCCCGCTGAAATTACTCTGTCAATCCATCTCATTGAGAGCTTGTGCTGCCCTTGTGCTGCCCTTCTACTTTGCCAATCATGTCCTTTCTGATAAATGTCCACAGTATGTGAGAAGTCTTGCCATCTTGCCTGTAAGGAGCTTTCTGGCTGTATTTCTTCCAAGACACATCTGTTTGTTTTTCGCAGTCCATGGTACTTTCAAAATTCTTCGTCAACACCACAGTTGGCGAAGGTCATGGAATCTTGGGGGGTGGGGGGGAATCAAACCAAATCTAAAGTCACCATTTGGAAAACTTTCAGTATCCTCGCTACTATCATCTGAGTCCACCGTGGCCACTAACTACACACTTAGGCCTCTAAGCCCTCACTGAACCTTCTATCTTACTTCTAACTGTGGTCAGGAGGGATTAAAGCTTGTGTTGGATGAAGCAGCAAGACTCTCAAGAAGTGGGGTTTTAACAGGCCCAATAAGGCCCTGAGATGCCTCGGTTGTTAAGAATGGGAGAAGAGGTTAAAAAAAAAAAAAAGATTGTTCCTCAAATCCTGACTTACTTCTCTTTCTCTGACACAAACACAAAATCACTATTTTCTCATTCTCATCATCACAGCAAAAGCATACCTGAAAGCAAGTTAATGTGACAAGGAAGGTAGCATCTATCAACTCCAAAGTTCCTTTAACAGACAACACTCAGCAATTTGTCCCGTAACAAAAACACAGAAGGGATTTCAAAGTTGTATGAAGGCAAATGACGTCAAGCCAAGAACATTATCTACACATCACATATTATCACCTATATGCAGTGGACCACCATCACTAGTAATACCAAGTGATTACATTTTCATAATTCCTTTACCACTCAAACTAAGGTTTGAAATGAATAGAATAAACCAAAATCCTGCCTAAATATTCTTGAGGCTTAAGTATTTCCCTGGCAAACAATTCAATTTATCATATCAATTTGTGACCAAAGGCAGAGTTAGAAGCATTCTACATCAAAAATGCAAGGGAGCTTCAAAAAGCTCACGGAAAAATTCCTTGATCATCCAATCCCAGAAGCCCTCTCATACATTAGCCATTGTGGTTAGGTGTGTCCAGTCAGTTCCAACTCAGAGCAACCCTATAAACTACACAACAAAAGACCACCAGTCCTGCAAACACCCTCACAATTGCTGTTTGAGCCCAATGTTGCAGTCTATGTCAATCTATTGTCATGGGTCTTCCTCTTTGTTATTGCCCTTCTACTTTATCAAACACAATGTCCTTTTTCCAGGAGCTAGTCTGCTGATGACATGCTCAAAGTACCAAAGTCTCCAAATCCTTGCTTCAAGAAGCACTCTAATGGTGTTTTTCCCCAAGATAGTTACTACATATACTTGTGTATAAGCTGAGTTTTTCAGCACATTTTTGATGCAGTTTTTGTGGTAAAATTAGGTGCCTCAGCTGATACTCGAGTATATATGGTATTTGTTCTTTTGGCAGACCATGGAACTTCATGAGCACCGTAATACAAATGCCTGGCTTCTTCTGAGGAATTCCTTACTCAATGTCCAACGTTAAAATGCATAAGAGGTGGTTGAAATACCATGACTTGGGTCAGTTGACAGGATGTCAAAGTGACATCCCTCCTTTTCAATATTTTAAAGTTATCTTGTGCAGCAGATTTACCCAATGCAATGTGTCATTTGATCTCTTGACTGCTGCTTCCATGAGCACTGATTGTGGATCCAAGGTAGATGAAATTCTTGACAATCTCAATCTTTGCCGTTTATCATGATGCTACCTATTAGTCCTGTTTTGAGGACTTGTTTCTTTACACTGAGCTATAATCCACATTGAAGGATGAAATCCTTCATCTTCGGCACCAAGTAACTGAAGTCTTCCTTACTTTCAAAAAACAAGGCTGTGTCACCTGCAAACCAAAAATTAGTAAGCCTTCCTTCAATCCTGATACCTCCTCCTTCTGCATGCAATCCAGTTTCTCAGAATATCTGCTCACCATACAGATTAAAAAAGTAGGGTGAAAATAAACTACAGTGAACCCTCGCCACTTCGCGCTTCGACTTCCGCGGCTTCACTCTATCGCGGTTTTTGCGTAACAGCGCATGCTGTCATTACTGCCACT